TCTTGGCTGATAGAACTAGAGTTTGCGCCAACAATGGGGAAAGCCATCCACAACCTGTCATTCTCCCATGCTGCATGACCAGTACCATTGATTTCCTGCTCCCTGGGTTAGTTTCCTCACTGCACCATGCCCATGACAGACATCTCTAGAAAGTTTGGTTCAAGTCGGGCGCTGGTGGCTCATGCCTGTAATCCTAGCTACTCAGGAGGCAGAGACCAGGATTATGGTTTGAAGCCAGCCCTGGCAAATAGTTTGTGAGACCTATCTTGAAAAATCCCATCATAAAAAAGGTTTGGTAGAGTGGCTCAAGGTGTAGGCCCTGGGTTCAAACCCCAGTAACACACACAAAAAAAGATTCACTGAAAAATTAAATGCAAGTAATGCTGATCACTAATGGTGTAACCATTTCCCTAATGTATGAAACTTTTTTGTGTGGGATTGGAGTTTGAACTCAGGGCTTCATGCTTGCAAAGCAGGTGCTCTACTGTTTGAGCCATTCCTCCAGTTCATTTTGCTCTGGTTATTTTGGAGGTGAGGTTTTACAAACTCTTTGCCTGAGCTAACCTCGAACCTTGATCCTCCCAATCTCAGCCTCCCAAATAGGATTATAGGCATGAGCTACTGGAACCTGGCCACATGTATGAAACATTTTAAGCTAACTTTTTCATTCTCCTTTTAGACAAGTGTTAAACAGATTTTTAGAGCTGTTAATTCTCCACTAACCCCCTTAGTTCAATGTCCAGCAAGCATTTTTCAGCACCTACTTTTAATTGAAGGTGCTAAGGATTACATTTATAATCCATTAGTATTTAAAAACAATGATAAAACTGGGCACGTCTATAATCCCAGCACTCAGGAAGGCAGAAGGATGGTAAGTTCCACACCAGCCTGGACAACTCAGGGAGACCCTGCCTCATTAAAATTTCCCAGGACTGTCTTCGGATGTAGCTCAATGGTACAGCACTTACCTAGCATGCACCAGGGTTAAATCCCCAGTAACACACACACGCACAAAATTTATATTCAGCTACGGAATACACAATACTTTTCAGGACGTTGTCCTGAAATTCTCTAATTTTCGTTCCCAGAGGTCCTCCTTATTAAACAATCAAGGTGACAGACTGGGAAAGTGTCCTGTGAAGCCCATAGCAGAACTAATAAGGCCAGAGGAGAGAGGCTAAATCTAGGAAGATGGTGTAGGGGAAGAACCCAGAGTTGCGAAATCAGAGGACTATGATTCCTGACGCTGTCACTAGTAATGAAAGCTTGCAAAACCCCAATTTCATCATCTACAAAATGAGGACAAATCAGTGTATGGTTTCCCACAGGATGGCAAGGACTCCTAGGATGATGTGAGGAAGTACCTCATTGTGAGAACCCTGCTTGAGGTCGTGTAGGCAAAGCACCAGCAATGCAGGGTCTGGCACAAACGCAAACACTACCTGCTCCCCTTCTCCTAGCCTCAACTCCTGGACAGCCACTGTGGGAAACAGAGCTCCCCATCTCCAAAGTAATCAGACCCAAATGGACTGGAAGTATGGATCAAGTGGTAGAGTGGTAGAGCACCTGCTCGGCAAGCATGAACTCCAATCCCACAAAAAAAAAAAAAAAAAGACCAAGGATTACTGAGACTGACCAAGGATTACTGAGACTGGCTGTCTCCTGCACATGTTAATTTTTTCTCTTGTCCCTGCCTGCAAAAGGCAAACAAGAAAGAAATGGTAACAGGCACATCCACTGAAGCAAAACAGGTCACAGAGGAAGATAATACGCTCAATGACAAATAAAAGTCAATTGCAGCTGGGCCCAGAAAACACAGGTGAAAATTCATGGGGAGTAGGGAAGGCATTTCCTTGTTTCTAGGATAAGCTTTTAAAATATTATCACCAATGCAAAGAAACACACACTTGTGTGGTTTTAGTATTTTCTTTACCACTTAAGCTGCCTGTGCAAGGACCTCCATAAGATTCAGAGGCAATGGCCCAAAAGACCAAAAATCATGTTCTCCCTCATATTCGGACACTAGATCAAGGTCAAACACAACAAGGAGATTGGACTTTGAGCACATGATAAAGCGAGAGCACACAAGGGAGGTATGAGGATAGGTAAGACACCTAAAAAATTAGCTAGCATTTGTTGCCCTCAACGCAGAGAAACTAAAGCAGATACTTTAAAACAACTGAGGCCAATAGGAGAAGGGGACCAGGAACTAGAGAAAAGGTTAGATCAAAAACAATTAACCTAGTAGGTAACACACATGCACAGGAAATCAGTGTGAGTCAACTCTCTGTATAGCTATCCTTATCTCAACTAGCAAAAACCCTTGTTCCTTCCTATTATTGCTTATACTCTCTCTTCAACAAAATTAGAGATAAGGGCAAAATAGTTTCTGCCGGGTAGCGAGGGGGCGGTGGGGTAAGGGAGGGGGTGGGGGAAGTGGGGAGAAATGACCCAAACATTGTATGCACATATGAATAAAATAAAAATTAAAAAAAAAAAAGATTCAGAGGCAAGCTTCTGAAGTTACTTTAAAATGTGGTGTGTGGGCTGAGAATGTGGTTCAGCCCCAGCCCACCAAAAAAAAAAAAAAAGGTTGATTTTTCAAGACTGTGTATGGGTAAGACTAAAGCAAAGGTACTTGTAAAACAAGATCAGCTGATTTATTAGGATGACAGAATTGTCTCACCCAGTGCCTGAAATCTAGTTTAATAAAAATTTGTTGAACAAGTGAGAAGACTTGATTTTTATTTCACACATGACATAACTGAATATTTGGCTCCCCTTGTGATCCAATCATTGAGAAAGGACATTTTCCCCCTTTGACAAAATTTTGTCATTCTATACCTGCCTTCTCTGCCCTCTCCCCCCCACCCCAGGCTTTTTTAATGCAATTTATATCCACCAAGTGTCCAGAAAAGCTTGCAGTCTAAGATGGGGCTTGGTGCAGGTAAGTGGCTAAAGGTCACTTGTGCATTTCAGCTATTTTAAAGCAGGAGGAACACTTGCAGATAAGCAGGAGATCTGTCTTTTATTCATTAATTGGCTGACTGTTCCTAGGAAAAATAACTGCTTATGGTTTCAGTTGACAGACCCATGACTAGGGTTAAACAGATGACCTCCTGCAAATGTAAATGTTAAAGGTCAAGATAAAACACTGAGTCAATGAAGACAGACAAGTTCTCCAAGGAGTTCATATTTGAAAACTTTATTTTCTCAAATGAGCACCAACACAGATTGGAAATATGACAGGAACACGCACTTTTCTCTAACACTGAATCACTATGTACAAATACAGGACAGGGAAGACAAATTATTTAAAAACAATTACCTTTGTTATTGAAGCAAAGTGACCTAAAAAAAAAGTCACCAAAGAAAATGAAAACAGAACAAAAACCCCAAACCCAACAAATACAGTTTGTAAACACAAGCATAAATAGACAGATTCTGTATTTTAGGATAGTCTCTGCAGGTTGGGAAAAGAAAACCAACTCCCACTTTCCCCAAACGTTATATAAAACATATGCGCAGGTACAACTGGAGGGTAGCTTGGTTCTTTTGTGGCTTTACCTTCTACTGCCAGTAGATTTTGTGACTGTATTTTAATTAAAAAAAAAAATCATCTCTTCCTCTACCTATAACACTAGCATGTTTTCTCATTTGAGGCAGATTCTTTTAAAATATGAAAAGTTGATTGTGTTCAAGATTTGACTTACCAGCCTCTTCCTGAATCGGATGCAATCTGACCTTAAAAAACTTTTTAAAAGCTATTTATAAGGTGTGTATTATGTTATTAACGTTCTCTTAATGCTTCTAAAACAACTGCCTAGGATATGGGATGAATGCACTCACATCTCAGTTATAAGCACAGATTTAACTCTGCTTGATCTTCACGAACAGACTTCCTTTATTGTCTGTAAAAGTTGAACACACAAAGAAAGTAAAAGGAACAAGTTAGCAACAGCGCCATGCTCAGGAAAACAAAATCCTTATGGTTTGTGCTGTTGGTCCACTCAGAAACAAAAGCAGAGAGAAAGAAGAAAAATGTTATGGGCCTGGAGGTGTAAACTGTGGTTAATAGTGTCTCCAATAGAAAACAGGAGGCACAATCCTAAATGCGCTCACACACACGCACACGCACACAATTCCAATTGTTAGAGTTTCTTCCAACAAGAATAATTTCCCTAAGTTCTTACTACTAAATTTACTTGGTTTTATTATTTATTTTCTTAACAAGCCAATATTGGTGCAAGAAAACATTTTAGTTCACAACCTGGTAATTTACGATAGGGACTGTGCCACTGGGAAAAAATGCAAACAGCATTGCTTTAAAGCCTCAATCCAGAATAAAGTGATCAAGTTCTTAAAAAAAAAAAAAAAGTGTACTGGTGATTACTGTTTCCCTTAAAATATACTTCAAGAAATGCAGAGGAAACCATAGAATCTAAAATGAAAGTAAAAAGTGCTCTCAGGGGGTCTGAGAAAACAGCACCAAATATATTATTTAAAAAATTAAATATTATTTACAAAAGTATATTTCATAAGCAACTGTCTTATATATATATATACACACATATATATATATATACTTGAAAATCTTATTATAAAGGGGACACATCTTTTGCACTCACTGATCCACCTGTAGAGATTTATTATCTCCTATCTACATGCTTGCTGTCATAGGAGCTGGGACAGCACTCAGCCAGGCTAGCTGAGCACGGTGTGGGCATGAAGTTGGGCCGTACCTGATTCACGTCAAATCAACCCATCAGCAGCCTGAGACTGATAAGGGCACAACGAGGAGCTAGGTGTACTCCAGGGTGGCCACAGGCACATGACCCTAGAGTGGCACAGGGAGATGGAGCTCAAGAGTTGGCCAGCTGGACTTCAGTTCAAAGCGAAGGCAGTTGCTGGCTGAGGTATAGCACTTCAAGCCTTTCCCTTTCTCACTTCTCCCTTCCCCTTCCCTATTCCCCGCCCCCCCGCCCCCCCCCCCAGCCCAAGTTTAAATAACAAACTCCAATTCCCTGAATCTGTGAGGGTGAATGGATGAGGTCTTTGGTTATGCTCTGAGTCAATAATTTTGTGAGGAAATTAAAGAATAACTGAAACCATGAGTTGATGTGTCTCCATTGCTCAGCTGTGGCCTCTGCAATACTGCTAAACGTGAGACAGACAGGCCACGAGTTGAGCTAACATTTTAAGAAGCACTTTTGGTTTCACTGATACAAAGGGAAGCCAAATGAGTTTTGTTTTTTCCCCTGTAGTTATGGAAAAACCAATACTCTACTCAGATCTCTAGTGCCAAGTCTGGTGCTAAGCACCCACCGGATGTTCCATGGATAGTAATTAGAAAAACAAAACGAAACACAACCAGGGTCTGACTGGAGCCTGCTCTGACCCATGCAACAGTCCATATCCCCAAGGAAGAACAGTGGCACATTGGTCTCCTTCTCTGCCCTGGCCAATTCTAGGGCACCTCATGTCCAATTTCTATGTCACCACATTCCAACTTCAGTTTTAAAGCCAAAACACCTACCTAGGTTTAACCTCCATTTTCTGTTTTTATAAAAAGGATTCTTCTTAATAGCCAGGACATTCCCTGAGCAGAGTCTAATCAAATCCATAGATGAAGGCCACTTCCTTCATAAGAGTAGAAGGGATCCATTATTTCTTTGCTGGCAAGCCAGCTTAGGAATGTGAAAGTCAAAAGTGTTTTACTGAGAACCTGGGTCTGGGAGCCAGAGGACGGTTTTTCTGGGAGCAAAAACTAAAGGCTTCTGAACCTCCGTCTGCTTTGCAATGAAATGGGAAGGACAAGTTCATCTTCGGAGTTACTAACACACTGCAAAGGCCTGCGCAAGAAGCTTTGGGAATGAAATTCAATTCCTAGGAATCTTTTGTGTTACTGAAGAGAGGCAGTCTTTTGTGCTGAAAGTGGCACTACCCTGTTTTCTATCACTCTGCCATCTGCCACTGGCAGGGCAGGACCATGCTGGTCTCAAATCTCTCATTCTGCACATGGAGATACAAAAAGACACTTTCACCATGGACTCACTCCCTGTGGGAATTTGGTTCTGCTGCAGATGCAATTTTGAAAATGTCCTGGGTTGGCGGCTTTAATCTTGGTTAATCAATTTTACAGATTCTTGGCTCTGTGAGCTCACTGTTTTGTGAGATTTTTGAAAGGTGAATTTTTCTCTAGCATCAGCCTACTTGGAGAATGCAATGCTGAGAATTACCTAATATTTACATATCTTAACAATAATATTTTCAGCCTAAGAAATGAAATCAACTCAGTTCAATGAGTTTGGGTAAGTTGTGGCTGAATTCTTGTAGAACAGACTTCACAGTGTTGATTAAATATAACAAACTCCTCTTTCTCTCCTGAGCGTTAAGGGATCTCTGCTCTCCACTTCCCTAACCCAGTGAGGCTTAGATGGGGGGTGGGGACAGGGCCTGGGGTAATACTGGAATTTATAACCCTTCCCCACCACTGACAGATTTCTCTTCACATAAGACATTCAGGTCCAAGAGCAACTACAGGCATGAGGAATCTGCCAGCCAGGTAATCACTAGGTTCAAAGTCTTGGGTCTTTGTTTTTTTGTCTATAGTGATGGAACTGTAGAAAAACACCCAAAACACTAAGAACGAAGAATTTCTGATTCCACTGAAACCATCGCATACCCAAAGAGGAAAGATGAACCTGACCTGCTTTGCTTCAGATCTGAACATTCCTCACACTGTTCCTCCCTGCTCCTCCCCCCACCACATCACTCAGAGAATTGCTAACTGGTCCTACTTTTTATTTTTCTGGCTTAATATGTGCCATTTTTTCAGGAGCCCTCAAACTGCAGCCCATCTTGCTCTCCTCAATTACCGATTTTATGTGGTTGCTAGCCAAAGCTTTTGGGGGTAGTTGCATCTTGCGTTCATTACAAACCACAGTTCCCTCTCCCCTCACCTACTGGCTAAGAGGCAAAGAAAAGATTGCCCAGAGGCTGAATGAGGCATCAGACATCAAAACCCATTGGGCTTTACCCACCCCACCCACTGCTGAGCAAAACAGTCCCCAACTCAGCCTGAGACTGAGGCCCTCGCCCTGTCAGCTAGAACTGGGGCCCCTTTTTGTGTTCATCTGCTCTCCTGGCACATTTGGGGTCAGGAACAGAAGAGAATTCAGTCATGAGGTATTTTTTTTTTCTCTTTGACCTTTTAGACAAGTTGATTTTTTCAAGCCTAAGTTACTAGGTCTCTAGGAGCAGTGCAATTTTGTTCCTACCTCTACCCACCTGCACCTGCCCACCCCAGGACCCTCATAGTTCACCCTTTTCCCTCTTCTTCACCCCCACATGCCACTGCTCTCTTGACAAGAGGCCAGAAGGCAGCTCTTGCATGGGCCCTGGGGCCCTTTCCAAGGTGGGCTGCCGCCATGCGGTTCCTTTCGTTGTTTTGTTTTCAGCCAACACAAAGAGAGAAGCCAGGATCAACTCACAAACAGATACAAAGCAAAGAGACAGAGAGACAGCGATTCAGAGGCCGGTCACCAGAAAGATGGTGTCAGGGTGGGAGGATGTCCCAGATGGCAGGGCCTCTAAATGGATGGAACCAAGTGTTCAGTCACTCTCTCACGCTTGGGTAGGATGTTCAGTTGGATGGCGTTCACATGCCACTGGGTTGTACGGATGCTGTGGGATCAGTCCCAGCCATTGTCCTTGATCATGTGAGCTAGTTCAATGATGTACTTGCCTTCTTTATATTTCTGGCTGCTCTCAAAAGCATGTTCCTACGAAACAGAGGAGAAAAAGACACTGAGTGACCAAAGGCAAACAGGTGATTTTGGAACAGAATCAGAGTGGTTCCGGCTGCAGGCATCAGGACCTCTAAGGTCCAGTCTGAGATTCCCCCAAACTCACTAAGAATTCCTACTACTCAAGCCATCTCTGTCCCCTGCACTTAATTCCAGAACTGAGGCAACGACACCAGGCCTTTGTCAATACCACAACAGAATTTCCTCAGGATCTTTGCTCTTTTAAGTCTTTGCTTAAATGTCCCCATCTCAGTACTGTCTTTCCCAAATACCCCACTTGAAATTCCAATTTCCACCCCAGCACTCTCTCTCTCTCTTCCTTGCCCCCTGCTTTATTTTTACCCACAGCACTTCCTACTTTCCACACACATTATAATTTGCATTTCTACTGTATTATGTCTTCCATAACTATAATATAAACTTCATGGAAGCCAGAGATTTTCATATTTCATTCATTGCCATATCCCTAAAAGACCACAGAGCACAAAATATATCTTCAATAAATAGTGAGTGAATGAATGAGTATACATTTATGTATTTATATATACAATTTTCTATTATATAATTTTACAAATATAAATTATATAAACATAAATATATAATTACATGATAAAGTTATATTTATAATATACTATTATATAATATATATTTATGTATATAATTATATATATGGGGACCTTGATTTCTGATGCTAACTGGAAGTCTACCCTGTGGATAGATCCAGGTTCTGTGTCATCTCTACTAATTTCTAGGAACATAGGAAAGCCTGGTTACAATTTTAAGCTGTACTTGTTAGGCTTAGAAAAAAGAAAGTGAGAGAAACCAAGTATTATGAGGCCAAACAGGTCTTTTATTTCTGTGTTCTTACTGTTTTCAATAAGAGGCAAGTATTTTTGTCTTTCACTGTCTTTCTTCCAGGGAGATGGAAGCTTTATAAATCCCAACCTGGAGAACCTGGCAGCCCCAGCCCCTCCCAGCTCTCAGACCTCAAGGGGAAACCTCAATATGAACACATGGCAGGTTACTTTCAGTCTCCAGTTGAACTGGGTAGAAAGCAGTCCTGCACAGCTGTAGGTTAAAGGGCCATCTCACTTGTGGCAACAGATGTGTAAGAACATCTTGGTGAATTAAGCTGAAATTACTGGTCCCTGGGTCATTATGTGGCTAAGATGGAGATGCAAAGGCAACAGACATAAGCCCCTGCACCCAAATGAGTAAGGAACTAAACCATACAGTCGACAGCATCTGTGTGAACTGCACCTTCTATTCTAGAACGCCAGGACGTTAGGATTTCAGAACAAGAGTTCAGACTTGGATCTCTTGTTCAGAGAAGAATCACTCTACAGATGGGGAAAGGAGAGAGGAGGAGAAACACACACACACACACACACACAAGCTATGGGCTCAGCAGCAGTAATTTCCCTGACACTTCATTAGTCCCTGGCTCGAAGTGTGTATGCACGTGCATGTGTGTGCTCACGTGCAACAGAGGAATGTGGTTTGGAAATAAGACCTATTGTTCCATAATGATGTGTTCAGGATAGAAGGGGAGGAGAAAGAAAAATTAGGAGAGTGGGAGTTTTCTTATTAAGCAGGAGGAAAGGAAATAAAATTCAATTCCCTTTTGCTACCAGACAAGTGCCAGCAGTGGACTCCAGTAGAAAGAGCAACACCCCACTGACACAGCAGAAGCCCTACTTAACCACCTGATGTTGATCAACTGTTTTATCTGTTTTCGTGTCACTTTCCCCCCAGGCATCAAGATGGACTAGATCCCATTCACTGTGTTTTACCTGTGTTGGGGATTGAACCCAGGGCCTTGCAAATGCTAGCAAACACTCTAACAGCTCTCACTCACTTTTCTTTCCTGTCAAAGGCTTTCTATAAAATTTTGTCAAATGAGCCAACTCAGGTTTATCTTTTGTCTCTAACTGAACACATCCTCAATGAATAAGGAATCCAAGAGGGTGGGAAACAGGGAAAGGAACAGAGCAATTCTAGACAATCAAAACCAAAGCTCCCCCACCAAACATTACCACTGATCACCCAGAAAGGCCTGTGACTATCCAGAGGAGCAGAGTGGTAAGGCCCATTTTTCCCACAAAAAACAACCAAACTAACCACAGTGAGCAGTGCTCACCACTTGGCATCATGAAACGTAGTCTAGGGTTTATTTGGGTTTTTTTCCCCCCTTTTGGTTTTTGAGATAGAGTTTCTCTCTGTAGCCCAGACTCACCCTAAACTTGTGGATGTCCTGCTTCAGGCTCCCTAGGGCTGGGAGCCAGGTTTGCATTTTTTTTCATTCTAAGATGGAACCTAAAGGTTACACTGCCAGTTTTACTGGAGATTTCACCTGAAGTGGCCTTTATTTTTGTAATGATTTGCACATTTTAAAACTTTATTTAAATGAAATTGGGGGTGGAGGTGTGACTCAAGTGGTAGAGTTCCTGCCTAAAAAAAGTAAGGCTCTGAGTTCAAATCCCAGTACTACCCCCCCCCCAAAAAAGAAAAAAAGTAGTTTAAGTAGTTTTCCCATATGTCTCCCACCAGCTCTTAGCGCTAATAAGGGAATCCTACACCCAAGAAGTCATTTGTCACAAATGATGAACCTACACTTATGCATCACTATCACCCTGCAGCAGTTCTGACTACACCCTCAGGCTCCTTCCTAAGCCACTGGTAGGTCATGAGCCACATGACAGGATGGGGAATTTGGGACCTTTACACAGAATAAATTACCCTACCTAGGGACAGAAGGACCATTTTTCAATACTCTCACAATGACAGAGAAGGTAAGAAAAAAAAGTATTTTGCTATGCACATGTGTACATACAGGGCTGAAAACAAATCTGCCAGTAGGTACAACAATGTAAGTTTACATCCACTGAACCTATACTATGTGTACTATATGCTGAGTGGTGACCTAGGTATTTCACAGGCATTATCCTTATGTAATGCTCAAAATGGCCTTAATGTAAGGAAATTGAGGCATGGAAGTTAAGTAGCTCACCTAAGTACACACACAACCAAGCCAGTGACAGAACCCAAATTTGCACCTGACTAGCTTGTCTGATGGTGTCTACCCACTAGCTAGAGGGACTAGCCAGAGGGACTGGGGAGGCTTGGTCTATGGTTGTGTTGTAACCTAATGCATGTTAGAACACTCAATCACCAGTGTTTTTAAAGCAGCAGATCCCTGCCCCAACTCCTCTCACCTTGACAAAGGACTGCTCACTCTTCCTAGGACTCAAAGGGTCCTTAAAATCTGTTCAGTTTAAATAATGAAAGAATGACTGCCCATGTGGGAGGGTCCAGTCATGATCATATCTCACAGTGGACAAAATGTTTGGCAATGCCTACGACATGGCCTAGGACCTAGGAACCTTTATTGGCACTTCAAACATAATGTGCTCTGGAGTCAAACTATTACATGGACTCCTCCAGGACTGGCCATTTGATGCCTAAGTAATCCTGGAAAGACTATTAACCTCCTTTAGCCTCCAAATCCCCATCCATAAAATAGGGATAAAAGGCGCACCTAACCTCTAGAGGAGCTACAAGAAATGAATAAAGTGACATATGCCAAGCAATAATAAGCTCTTGGGAAATGAGATGCTATCATTATTTATGAAGTCAAAAAGAACGTGTGTCTCTAGGACAGGTGAAAACCAGTGAGTATGAGGAAGGGGGGTAGGAAAGGGAAGAATGAATATAGTAGACAGATGTCTGTTCCAGGTACAGCTCTTCGACCTCAGTTTCCCGTCCTAGTCAGACACAACCCCACAGGCCATAAGAGGCAAACAGAAAAAGCCCTTCACTCTTCCCATCTCAGATTTCTCCCAATCAGGCTCCTCTGTACTCACATATTTCCAGCCCAAAGTAGTTTTGCAGTTTTCACAGTAAATGTCTGCAACTGCGTGCAGTCCCGTTAGCAAAACTCGTTCTTCTGCAGGCCCACAGCCCACGTTAACTCTATAGCAAAAGACACACAGAGAGAGTGGTTAGTCAGTCACATGTACATACATCAGGAGTTGTTCAAGCTGAGCTTCCAGCAAAATCTAACTGGACAAGGCTGCCCCAAGGGAAGCTACCACTGAGAACCTGGTCTAAAACTGAAGTCGATAACATCCCCCAAAGGATGCCACATGGGAATCTCAGTTGGGATGAATTTCAGATCTGCAAGATTGAATTCCATGGAGCTACTAAAATAGCCCTGGTTGACAGCTTGCTTAGAATTTAATTTTTTTCTAACAAAGGCTTTTAACCTTGTGACTTAAGCTACCCTGTGAGGTCCATAGCTGTGAGCACAGGTCCTCAAAGCTTACTGTGGACTGAATGATGCCAAGCATGATGGCATGATGGCACAGCCATGTTCTTCTCACAAGGATCAGTGAGCACCAGACATCCATTATGCTAACCTCCTTCGCAGAACCTGTTCCAAGCTGAACGTGCTCCATTTCCATTTTATAGTTCAGTAGGCTTCACCTTCCTTTCCCAGAAGAGGTATATAAATCACGTGCCCAGTAATGGCTGCCTGATCTGCATGCTGGGTGTCAACATAGGGGATGGGGCGTGGCCCTAACTGAGCCTTCCCTCCATCTCTAGGCTCTCCAGCAGATCTTAGTGGAGATGTTTATTCATCTTCACTTTCTTCCCCACTCACAAATCTCAGATCTAGTTATGAGGCCTCCATTTGAAGCTCTCTCAGAAGCTCCTCTGCTTCTGAGAGGAATTACATCTGTAATCCCAGTAATTCTGGATGGTATTACAGCCCTCTCACGTGCCTACTGAGGGTAGTGGAGTGAATATATTATTTTCAGCCAAAGATACTGCCAAAAAAAATTTCCCAAGGTAACTGACTACCAGTTATGGAAAGTGATGCTCCCCCCACAGTTTTTAAGGTAGAGAGGACAGGGTCTGTTGCTGAATTGTCAAGGTTTACTTTCTCCCATCCCTCCAAATTTGCACCAAATAAATGGATGCACCATTTGGAGACACTCACACTGAGTTAAAGAGGTATGCTCGTCCTTGACTTCCTTGGAACGACTGAAATAAAAGAAAATAAATTGACAGTTAGATATCCATTCACCTGTCCCAAATTACAAGAAGCATGGCCTTCCTGAATTGACACAGCAGAAGGGAGCACTAAGCCTGCTAATAGTCTAGCTGGCAGATGGCATGGGGTGGTGGGAAGGAGAAGGCAGAATAAATCAAGCATCAGAGCCCAAACCAGCCACACTGGACTATTTTCACCAGCTCAGGTGAGAAGATGGGGGAGAACCAAACAACCAAGCCAGGTGTGGTGGTGTACATCTGTAATCCCAGTATGTGGCCAGTCTGGGCAACACAACGAGACCCTGTCTCAAAATGAAAATAAAGCTGTGTGCCAGTGGCTCACAGCTACTAATCTTAGCTACTTGGGAGGCTGAGATCGAGAGAATCCTGGTTTGAGACCAGCCAGGGCAAATATTTCACAAGACCCCTATCTCCAAAATAACCAGAACAAAATGGACTGGAGGTGTGGCTCAAGTAATAAAGTGCCTGCTTTGCAAGGACAAAACTCTGAGTTCAAACCCCAGTCCCACCAAAAAAAATCTGAAAAAATAAACATAAATAAGAAAAATAAAAATAACCAGATGTCGTAGCTTACACTTGTAATCCTACCTACTCATGAGGCAAAGAGCAGGAGGATCATGGTTCGAGGCCAATACAGGTAAACAGCTGGGAAACCCCATCCGGACCAATAAAAGCTGGGCATGGTGGTGTACACTTATCATCTCGGCTATGTGGGAAGGTGGCTCAAGTGGTAAAGCACCTGCCTAGCAAGCAGAAGGCCTTAAGTTGAAACCCAAGTACTGCCTAAACAAACAAACAAACAAACAAACAAATACAAGCAAACCTCACTATGCCATTAAAAACTTCTTTCCTCCTGATGCTGCCTGAGCTAATTCACATTGGCCTTTCCTGGTTCCACTTGATTTCCACCATCTCTGCTGGCCACAGCTCCCCCACACTGGCTGGGGATGGAAAAGCCGTACCAGCACTTTTGCTCATTCTCTTGGTCCAGCCCCACTGAAGGCAGCAGGGCGTTCCCAGCACAAGAACAAACTATGAAGCCCATACTCAACACTCATCTTGCCTTCTGGAAGATTCGAACTGCTCCAACAGTTGCCATCCTCCTCAACGGACCTGGGAGTTCCCCTTCTAAGCAGTAAGCAACTTCATCTCTAGATTACAGAAATGCTCACCCAGCACAAATCCCACCAGAAGCTCTAGCTTACATACTATTCTCTTTCTCCCGGCAGGACAGTGGCAGAGAAGAGGAGGAACGCGAGCCAGCGCTTGCCATGAAATCTGGTGTCTCCTCCATTGACACGGCCCCCTCCATGTTTCCCTCCTCGGGTTACCCTGAGATGTCTGGCTGGCATGTGCCAGCGTGTTCTGCATGGCTGCCTGCATTTTTAATGTGGTAATGACCACTGTATCCTGAAGAGAACATCCAAGTCTGCTCTGAAAACCACTCTAAAAACAAATGAGATTCTGGAGGAGACCAGGAAGGATACGGATCACTGTGCATGCAACAGTTATTTTGTTGGCTATTCAGGGCTTCAGGGAATGGGGCTGCCAGCCCCAGAGAAACACAAAAATCTTGATGAAAAACTGTGTCAGGAGCTGCTGTGTTGTTGGATGCCTCCAACATTCAAATGCACAGGGTGCCTTCACACCCAGGTGCAGCTGCAACGAGCAAGCAGATGTTCCCCAGCTGCTGCCTGGACCAAAACCTACGCTTTCTCCTTTTTTGGGTCTTGAACCATTTCTGCGAAACGCAGGACCTCCAATGCACAACTGAGTAGCTGAGTGTCACAGCCTCAAAACCTGGAAACTGCTTTCATGAGACAAGTGTCCCAGTGACACAGGCCTAGCTTTGGGACAAACTGTTAATTCAACCCTGGTGCATAGACACCCCATGGCTTTGGCTTCCGGGCAAAACTTGCAAGATGTGGCCCCGCCCATCTCCCCAGCCTGTTCTCTTGCTGCCCATTGTGCCCTTAGCTCTACTTAAGACAAACCCCACACGGTGGTTGCCTTTTACCCAACTCTGCCCACACCACCCCCTGCCAGGAAGGAACTTCCACCTGACCAATACTAAGCCTCAGTCAGCTCCTCTCTTCTGTAAGCCTTTCTCTGGCCTCTGCCAGAGAAGAGGTACCACTGACACCCATGTTCTAACCCCTCCTGTTCCCCAGGTTTTCCTTTCTCTTAGCACTTAGGAGTCTGGACTTAAATGATCTGTTTAACTCCCTCAATAGGTTGCGAGCTCCCTGGAGGCGTGGGCCATGTCTTTGATCTCTCTCTGCACCCCCAGAACATCTAAATCTAAATGCACCTCGTTGAATGACTTTTTTTTTTCTTTTTCAGTACTAGGACTTGAACTCAGGGCCTACATCTTGAGCCACTCCACCAGCCCTATTTCTGTGAAGGGTTTTTCAAAATAGGGTCTTTTGGAACTATTTGTGTGGCTGGCTTTGAACTGTGGTCCTCCTGTTCGCTGCCTCCTGAGTAGCAAGGATTACAGCGTGAGCCACGGGTGCCCAGCTAATGAACTGCTTCTACTTTCTCTTTTCTTCAAACAACCTCCTAGAAGTATAACATATAATATACTATATATATTTATGTGTACAAGATGAATTTTACTATCTGTGTTGACCTGTGTGGCCACCAACACAATCAAGATTATCCATTACACCCAAATGTTTCCTCATGCCCTCCTGAATCCAGCCTTCCCTCCCCTCCACAGCCCCTTCCCAATTTTGGATCCACAGGCAACTCCTGCTATCAATCCTTTGTATGTTCTAGAATGTTTTATAAATGAAATCATACAGTATTTTTTTTTTTGGTCTGGCTTCTTTCACTTAGCATATTTAAGATTCATTCATGTTGTTCTATACTCATTTGTTTCTTTTTTTATTGCTGAGTAGCATTCCATCCTATGCATATATCACAGATAACTTATTTTTTGTTTGATTTTAAAAAAGAATTTGACCTAGTTGATCTCTAAGACTCCTCCCAGCTCCAAAATTATATTCTCTTCTGATTCCACGGTCCTAAATTATGTGTAATCAGGTGTGTCATTCCCTAAGAGACATTCGCCAAGATCGTCAAGTTCAGATTTGGGTTTTGATTTTTTTTGTTTTTTTTGAGTGGTAGGAGTTTGAACTCAGGGCTAGGTAGGCACTCTACCACTTGAGCCACTTCGCCAGCCCCAAGTTCAGAATTTGGAAGTAGGTGGCTATGAGAAAACAAATTCTAGAAGAAATCAGGAAAAAAACCATGAAGCAGCACAGCTTCAGGGCTAATGACAGGAGAAAGCCTTGAAGAGCACATTCACTGATTTCACAGACACTCATCAATCAATTGCTACATAATTGGGGCTGCAAGGAGACTTTCCATAGCAGCAAGGTTTATAAGACAATCCTCCAGAAGAAAGCAAATACTAGAATTTGATCTGAAAAATTAAGTTTCACTAAGCAGTTACCATATATGGACTGCCATGCTGGGACTTTCACTGGGCTAGTATGTAGCATACCTGGAAGAAAGGGTGGGGCTGTCACTGCCTGGGCGTGATGGCGGCAGTCTTCTTTGCTAAAAGCACATCGTGAATACTATGTTTTCTGTACTACAGGATGTCAGTAATGAGGTTAATCTTACAGAAACAAGGTCTTTCAACTGGGCACTAGTGGCTCATGCCTGTAACCCCAGCTACTACTTGGTGTGGGGTGGATGCAGGATTTGAGATCAGGAGGATCACAGTTCCAGGTTAGCCTAAGCAAAAAGTTCACAAGATCTCCATCTCCAAAATAACCAGAGCAAGATGGACTGGAAGTAGACCAAGTGGTACAGTGCCTGCTTTGCAAGCATGAACCCTGAGTTCAAACCCCAGTCCCAAACACACAGACAAAAAATCCAAAACAAAACCCCAAGGTCTTTCTGTTGTTTTGAGACAGGCTCTTGCTAAATAACCCAGGCTATCCTTGAACTCACCATCCTCCTGTTCCCAAGTGCTCAGATTACAACAGGGTACCACCAAGTCCAACTAAAAGCAGGCCCCTAACTTAGCAAGTTCCTTGCAATTTTTAGAATGGACAGAGTATCATAAAAAGGTTTAATTACAGCAAAGTACAAGAAGCGTAGACTATGTAGTAAACTGACATTTGGCAATGTTTTCATTTTCTTCTGATTTGTGACTTAAAAATAATTACGTGAAATCATTGCTTTTACAAAAGCAGTACATTCAATCATATAACCCAACTTCAATAAAGATTCAAAACAATTTCATAATTGCTTATATTTTTTCCACCCTTTAAACATGTGTATATAAATGTTCATTAAAATTCTTACTATGTTTATAACGCACATTTTATGTAGCAGTATACAGTGTATAAGTAAGTCTATGTGTTAGAGCATACACTCAAAACATGTAGCTGACAGGCCATTGCTCCGGGGGTTCCAGTCTGCTTCAGGGAATGGCCTAGGGGTAACTCTCTCTAGCCTGACACAGACTAGGATTCCTAGAGAGAGTAGGGATAAGAGGAGGCCACATGGCAGAGAAGAGATTCCCCAGCCAGGCCCAGAGGCGGCTCAGTACAGACAGGGCCAGTACGGTTCCTCCAGGCCTGTTCTAGGAGAGCATGCTGGCAGAAGCCCACACTCTGCAAAGGATGCTGGGCCCAAGCAGGACTGGACTGGTGGCAATATCTCCCCGGGTACTCCCTGAGAGGCAGCGTCTGTGAACCTCTGTTTCCTCAGTCTGGCACTCAGAACTAGCAGCATTTTCTAAGGCTGAACTCTGGAAGCTCCATCACCATGGCCTCCCCCGACTAGGGCCCCTGCCAAGTCAACATTTATGATGAGAAAAACAGCCACTGAAAGCACAAGGCATCTTGCAAATAGACACAGACAAGAATAGCCCCGCTGGGTCGCTGTATCCTGTGGGGCCTGGACCAGCCTAGCACAACCTGGCACAGCATGGTACTCCCTCGAGTGAG